GCATTCTATCTATTGACGTTAGCAACTTGGCAGCTATGGTCATCGTCGTCTTCCTCCTGTAGCGGACCTCTGGTTGGCCTGTGAGACCAGCCCCTTGGCCTGTTCTCACATGCCTGTGTTGTATTCGGGGTAGTCCAATCCAGGCTGGTACCAACCAGTCCAATCCAATCCAATGAGTCCGCTGGGGTATACCCAAGCCAGGGCCTGTACTTGGGATTATTCTATATTCGCACAGTCTGGAGTACGTGCGTTGGAGTCTTGTGTGGGAGCTGCACTGTGTCATATTGCTCCGCCTTCATCCTCCATCTCTATCTTTATCCCAGGCGGAGCACCACACCCGGTGGGTCCGCTGCACCTCCTCTCTCGCGCAGCTATGGCCGTTGTCTTCCTCCACTAGCCCACTTTGTCGTCGGGCTCCTGTAGACCTCCGATGCACAAGTTGCATAAGCAGCGCTTCCGCATGACTCACAGGCGAATGAATGAATGGTTGGGCGCTGCCTCTTTATTTATACTGTTTCGTCGGTGGTCTGGCCTGCCTTCGGTCCCAGGCCCAAAGTTTGTGCAGCCCCACCTGGTACTTGCTGACTAGACAAGGTGGATTGAAAATCTAGACTAGGACTCCTGACTAAGCTAAGACTAGACTCTACCTTGTTGACTCATCTACGACGACTGACTCTTACAACTCAGAAGAGCCAAGTAGCGAGTTCTAGAAACTCATAGGCTATGACTGGGTGACCCTTAGGCATACGTAGGGCTCGACTACTGAACGTCATCTTAGGATTGTTGACCCGTAGGTCTACGGTTAAAGTCCACACAACCCTACTACTGACACTAACCACTGATATACATTTTGAGGGACATGTCGTGGGTTCAAGGCACACAGGGTCCACGGGTAGTTGTACAGGGGTTCAAGGATAGTCTAGGGATCGAGCCCTGGGATCTGCAATTGTCGCGCGAACTGAGTGAAACCGTTTCATATAAGGAAATCTCCAATAGGTTACAGGTGTGACTTAAAATGATTTGGACTTGGGGCCAGGAGTGAGTGGGGATCTGCACAGATCATATGAAAAAATGATTTGGACTTGGGCCAAGAGTGAGTGGGGATCTGCACAGATCATCTGAAAACCAAGGGCGCACTGGCCGCAAAAACTGTATGACCCGTAATAGACCTAATGCACACTGTCCTAGTCCCTAGGGTATAAGTAATATGTAATTTTTTTATGAGGTCACCAGTCTTGCATTTACGTTCTTTTGGATGATTGACAACTTTGCACGCATGCAAGCTTGTCAAAAGGGTCTGCATGGGTTGTATGTGCATTTGCGAAGACAAACATCGCAACGATGTGCTGCAGTCACAAAAAACTTCCAGTGATGTACTGGAGGAAGGTGGGGATGACGTCAAAGTCCGAATGACCCTTATGGGCTGGGCTACACACTTGCTACAATGACAATGACGATAGGAAGCCTACATGTTGAATTGCTCATGTTTTCCAAGGACAAATTATTTTTGAAATGGATTGTATTAGGGCACGCTCACACTAGGTACCCAAATTCCCCAAAAATGGGAAAATGGGAACGACCGTTTTGAGGAACTGCGACCCTGGCCGGTCACACTGTGTTCCCAACACGCTAACGACAAGGTCGTTACATCGCACTCTGCGAGGTGCGTGTGGAGGGCGCCGGTCACACGGTGGATACCTCAAATGGGAAATGCAATTATTCGTTTTTTATAATCTGTTTTTTCCTTCTTTTTTTTTTGGGTCGTTACTGCTGGCCGTTCGCACCAACGGGTGTCCATACGAACCTCTCTACTTGTGCTCCGCGCGTGCGCCCATTTCCCTAAATCTCCTTTTCGTCAATTGATAGGCCGCTAATATCGTGGGGTTCCATTTTTTCTCCAATTTTGCACGGTAATTCGGAAAAAGATTTAGAATTTGCGGCACCTGAAAGCTCCGAAGACCCTGAAAACCACCTGTTTAGGTAGGCTGCATCCTGAAGTGGTGAAGGGTGGTTTTCATGGTCTTCGAACCTTTCACCACTTTAGGACCATTCAAGATTTTCAGACTGCCCAAAACTCTCACTTGACCACTTCAGGACACCCTTCACCACTTCAGGATGCAGCCTGCCTAAACAGGTGGTTTTCAGGGTCTTCGGACCTTTCACCACTTCAGGACCATTCAGGATTTTCAGACTGCCAAAAACTCTTACTTCAGAATTTTCATTCCTGAATTTTCAGCTACCCGATAACCGCTTGTGGCGGGCCGGTGACAAATGGTCACCACTTTTGAAATTTTGGGCAGATATTCACCATGTGTGACTGTCCGGGAACCCTTTTTGGGGGGGGAAATGGGGATTTGTTACCTAGTGTGAGCATGCCCTTAGTTTGTCAATTGCTCAAGCGGCTGCTTTAGCTTCACATAATTTGTGTTTGTTTACCAAGGAGAGAGAGAGAGAGAGAGAGAGAGAGAGAGAGAGAGAGAGAGAGAGAGAGAGAGAGAGAGAGAGAGAGAGAGAGAG